GAATAGCCCAAAGGTGGAAACAATCCAAATGTCCATCAATGAATGAATGGATAAGTATCCTGTGATATATTCGTGTGATGGAATATTACTTGGTCATGAAAAGGGGCCCCTGGGTGGCTCAGTCAATTAAGCGTCTGACTTCGGCTCAGGTCATGATCTCCCAGTCTGTGAGTTCGAGCCCCGCGTCGGGCTCTTGTGCTGACAGCTCAGAGCCTGGAGCCTGCTTCGGGTTCTGTGTGTCCCTCTCTCCCTGCCCCTCCCCCACTTGTGCTCTGTCTCTCCCTGTCTCTCAAAAATGAATAAATGTAAAAAAAAAAAATTTTAACAAAGATGCCACTCAAATGAAAAAATAAGCCTGAGGGCGCCTGGGTGGCTCAGTCGCTTGAGTGTCTGACATCGGCCCAGGTCATGATCTCACGGTTCATGGGTTCGAGCCCCGCGTCGGGCTCTGTGCTGACAGCTCAGAGCCTGGAGCTTGCTTCGGATTCTGTGTCTCCCTCTCTCTCTCTGCCCCTCCCCTGCTCATGCTCTGTCTCTCTGTCTCAAAAATAAATTAAACAAATTTTTGTTTATTTTAATAAAAAAATAAATAAATATAAAAATGAATCAGTTGACTGTACAACCCAAAGAATGAACTCTAATGTAAACTATTAACTTTGGTTAAGTATAATGTGTCTACATTGGCTCATCAGTTGTAAGAAACATATCATCCTAACAGAAGATGACGGAAGATGTTAATAATAGGGGAAAGTGTGGGGAGTTGATGGATGTTTTGGAACTCTATACTTCCTGCATAGTTTTTCTGTAAACCTGAAACTGCTCTAAAATATAAATTCTGTTTAAAAGTTAATTATTTGAGGGACACCTGGGTGGCTCAGTCAGTTAAGCATCCAACTTCAGCTCAGGTCATGATCTCACAGTTGGTGAGTTCACACCCGGCGTTGGGCTCTGTGCTGACAGCTCGGAGCCTGGAGCCTGCTTCGGATTCTGGGTCTCCCTCTCTCTCTGCCCCTCCCCTGCTCATGCACACGCTCTCATCCTCTCTCTCTCTCTCTCTCCCCCTCTCCCTCTCTCTCTCAAATATAAATAAACATTAAAAAATAAATAATAAAATAAAATAAAGTTTTAATTGTGGGGTGCCTGGGTGGCTCAGTCAGTTGGGTGTCCGACGACTTTGGCTTAGGTCATGATCTCATGGTTTGTCTGTTGACAGCTCAGAGACTGGAGCCTAATTCAGATTCTGTGTCTCCTTCTCTCTGCCCCTCCCCTGCTCGTGTTCTCTCTCTCTCTCTCTCTCTCTCTCTCTCTCTCTCTCTCAAAAAAATAATAATAAACATTTAAAACAATTTTTTTAATAAATAAAAAAGTTAATTGTTTGAGGGTTGCCTGGCCAGCTCAGTGGGTAGAACATGCGACTCTTGATCTCAGGGTTGTGAGTTTGAGCCCCACGTTGGGTGTAGAGATTACCTAAAAAGATAAAAAAAATCTTTTTAAAAAAGTTAATTATTTGAAATTAATGAAAAATGAATTAAGATGCTTTAATTGGGGAGAAGGTGTTCTGGGGGTTCAGACAGTCGTTTCCTTTCGTGCTTGAGTCCTGGTGACATGTGTGGGTTCAATTCGCAAACACCCCTGAACTGCCCAGTTGTAGAATGTGCACTTCCCTATACCCCCTGTATTACACTTCAACTTAAAAAAATTAAAAATAAAATGAAAATTTGTTTCCCGATTGCATCGTCTTTTAAAATGTGCATCTTTGGGGCGCCTGGGTGGCTCAGTTGGCTAAACACCCAACTTTGCTCAGGTCATGATCTCATGGTTTGTGGGTTCGAGCCCCGCATCGGGCTCTGTGCTGACAGCTCAGAGCCTAGAGCCTGCTTCCGATTCTATGTCTCCCTCTATCTCTGCCCCTCCCCCACTCACTCTCTCTTTCTCTCTCTCTCTCAAAAATAAGTATTAAAAAAAAAATTTCAAATGTGCGTCTTTGACTCAAACCAGCCTGGGTCCCAGTCGCGGCCCTGCGCCTCCCCCAAGTCAGCAGCCTTGAGTAGTCTAGTCCCCACCCCCAGCTTCCATGTGCCAATCTGTGAAATGGGTTAACAATAGCAGGAGCCACCCCTTAAAGGTTGCTTGGGACACTTCAGTGAGATGAGGTCTGGTAGGCGGTATGCAAGATTTTAGCCATTATTCCTGCTTTTATTATTTACTAGTTTATTGGAGCGAGATAAACGCAAAGCTGACACTCTCAGGATGCTGTGAGAGGCTGGCAAACTTCAGAGCATCAGACACCAGGCAAGGGCACCCAGCAGCCCCACCCCAGCAGAGGTGGCCCCGCCTGTCCTGCTGGGGCTGGCATTATCTGAAAACGGAGGAGCCAGCGACTGGTTCCGTGGCCCACGCCCAAGGAGCGCTGGTTTGTCAGGTTAGCCCGGCCGCCAGTCAGGGACTTGTCATACAAGGTGTGTGGGCTCCTGAGAAGGAATGCAGGACACGACCATGCCCCCCCCCCCACACACACACACACCCCGGACACACACACCACCAGAAATCACACATGTTGCCTCTCCTTGAACTGCAGGTCCTGGGGCCCACCTGTCATCCAAGCACCCAGCACTGGCTCCACTGCCCCACATCCTAGCCCTGCCCTTCACTCACTCTGGAAGCCAGTAGTCAAAACAGCCTGCCTCCTCTCCCTGCTCATGCCAACCAAACACCCTCTCTCTGCTAAAGAGCTGCCTGACCCCAGAGACTCCTATTCTCCCAAAGTGCCAGATCCTAGAAGGCTGAGCTGAGAGGGGGCTTACCCCAGATTTCTGGGGTTCGGAGAAGGGGCTGCAGGAGCAGTTCTGAGGGCAGAGCCAAGCTGGCAAATCGAGGTGGGAAGGAGGGCCTCACCGCAGCTGTGGGCACACTGTAGGCTGTCGCCCACAGCTTCCTCGGCCCAAAGGAGATCCTGACAGAAAAAGAAGTTTACAAACCACCAGTCATTTAGACCATCCCAGAACTGCAATTGCCTCTGCCCACCGTCTCAGCACTTGGACACGAGCCTCGGAAAGGATTCCATAAAGCTCCACCTCAGAGCTGTGTGACCTCAGGTGAATGTCTGCACCTCTCTGAGCCTCAATTTCCTCATGTGTAAGACAGGAACTGTATTACCCACTTCACAGGGCTTTGATAACAATGCCACATTTTTAATGTGCTCAGCTCAGGGCTTGGGACACCGCAAGCCCCAGATCAAAGGTGCCTCTCCTTGCTGTTGGGGCTGGCACCATATTCGTTAGTGTTTGCCCAGTCATCTGGGATTTGGAGAATGGGGTCCAAGGCTTGCAGGGAGGCGGGAGGGGGTCGCCTTCTCCGTCTGCGGAGTCATCCAAGCCCCTCTGTGGATACCAACCCAGGTCACCACTGGACACCAGTCCAGGGCTAATGTTACCGCTCAGAAACCCAAGCTGGGCTATACAGAGAGGCCGGGGCCATTGGAAAGGGCACAGGATGTTGGGGTCACACAGGGCCGGTTTGTTCAAATCCCAGCTCCCCCACTGTCTCCCGGCCTCCCTCCCACCTCCAGCCTGAGACTCCCCAGTTGGCAGGTCTCAGCCGCCTCACGTGGTCCAAGCGGGGACCGCCAGCCCCTTGGACACCAGGGAGCATACATCCCTCCCGCATCCAACAAACGTCAGCTGGTACCAACCGCAGGAGCTCACACAACCCTCACAGCCAACTCTGGGGGCCCAGGAGGGCATCTCCTCTTTTCAGGCTCTGCGCCTGCCATGGGTGGGGAGAGGGACGGTGAAGGCAGCCGGATCACTAGCGTAAAGTCCCTGAGGGAGACGCTGTGGAGTGACTCCGGTCCGCCCTGCGGCACAGGGCAGGGCCTGGATCCGCCCGAGAGGTCCTGATGGGGAGGGGGCTCTTCCTGAGGTCCCTTCCCATCACAGAAACCCGGGAAGAAGGATGTACCCAGGACTCCGAGGGGCGCGCTCAAAACAACTGCGCCCAAAAGCGGCGGCCGTCGGGGACACGCCCACGTCCCCCCATCCGGAGCCTCTGGGTCGTGGGGGTTCCCGGGGCGGGCTGCGCGCAGCCCCTCGCGTCCCCGCTGCCAACACCCGCGCCTGCCGGGCGCCTCGGGTTACAGCGCAGCGCCCCGGCCGCGCTCGGGTTACCGCCCCCCGCGCGCACTCACCTCGCGGGTCTCGGCCTCGGCCTCTCGATCCGGGATCCAGATCCGCCCGCACCGCAACCTCGGTTCTGACCGCGCCGTCCGGCGGCCGGGCCCTTTAACCCCGCCCGGCCGCGCCGCGAGGCCCGCCCCCGGCCCGCCCCCCCGGCCTCGCCAGCCTCTGGGCGGGGACCGAGGCTAGGCCCCCAGAGACGGAGAGAACCAGAGACAGAGTCGTGGATGCGTGGAGAGCGACGGAAAGGGAAAGACGCAGAGGCGGGGATGGAGAGACCGACAGGTGGAGAGATGGAGAAACAGACGCAGACAGAGACAGCGAAAGAGACATTGGAGACACAAAGACTTGAACACCCAGCATCCCCAAACCAACCACACTCCCTGCCCCTCTGCCCATGCCTGGCTCCACTTAGTGCCCAGATCCCCCCTCAGGCCCGCTCCTGCACCCTCTTGCACCAGCACCCTCAAAGCCCACACGTCAGGACCTGCTCCCACGCTTGGACAGGGGTCCCTAAGCCAGCAACCCTGACGCCCCTCGCGGCCCCAGGAATCCTCAGGCTCCATCGGCCCTGGGGAGCCAGCCGTTCTGCTCCCCCTGGATTCAACCCACCCTCCTGGGGCTGTACTGGCAGCTGCAGCCTCTTCCTCCAGGAAGACCTCCAGCCTCAACAAGCCACACCAGGCTCTGGTCCTGCTCCTCTCACCCCCACCCACCCACCGTCAGCCAACTCGACCATCCCACTAAGATGTTGTCCTTGGCCAGTTTATCTGCTCTAGATAGATCCAGACAGGGTCAGTCCCGCCCCGGATTTGGAAGAGATACCCGTGTCTGGGTCAGTGGGTGGGTGGGTGACTGATCTGGGCAAGTGGGCAGACAGATGGGAGGAATCACAGCTGGCCGTTGGCTCTCCACTGCCTCCACAGGGCCAAAAGGCACTGTGCATACTGGACACCCAGGTAATATCTGTCAAAGAAAAAATTTTAAAAAGCCACAGGAGATTAGAGAGATCAAAGCCTCCGACCTTAATTGCAGGCTCATCTGGGGAAACTAAGGCAGATGCTGGCAGCTGGAGGAGAGGCACGACTGGCTGGGTTCAGGCAGGAGCCAGGCCAGACACTGAGAAGCCTGAAGCTGTAAGGAGACATCGCCCTCCTCTCAGTGAGTTCCAAAGCTAAAACCACAGCGAACCATAAGGAAACTGAAGAAAGGGCGAGGAAGTTCAGACTGTTTTCCCCAGGATGACCATTCCAAAGCCTTTCGATCTGTCAGAAATAAATTCTTGATCCTGTTACAGACAACGGCTGATCCCCTCCTGGCTTTGGGGGCCAACCAGGTGGGAAGTCTGGTCATGGGGCTGGTTAGCCTGGGGGATGGGAGCCAGGGGGTGGAGCAGGCCCGGAGCTGTGCTGGACTCTCAGAGGACAGGGCCAGGGGTCACAGCCACAGTCAAAGCCACATAACACTATGGGCAGAGATGGACTCTGGAGGCAGAGGGTTCGGGTGGCTTTATCGGTTACTCACTGTGTACCCACCTCAGAAGACTGCTGTAATGTTTTAGGGTAACAGTTGTCACCCAAGGCAATCCTGTCCCTCAAGAGACAATCTGACAATGTCTGAAGACACTTTGGCCATCACAGCTGGATGCTGGGGTACCGCTGGCCTCTAGTGGGTAGAGGCCAGAAATGCTGATAAACACCTCACAATGCGCACACAGGATGGCCCCTCGCCAAAGAGAATGATCTTGGGGCACCTGGGTGGCTCAGTCGGGTGAGCATCTGACTCTCAATCTCAGCTCAGGTATTGGCCTCAGGATCGTGAGTTCAAGCCCCGCGTCAGACTGTACTGGGTATGAAGCCTATTTAAAAACAGAGAGAGAGAGAGAGAGAGACAGAATGATCCAGCCCTAATGTCAATAGTGGTGAGGTTGAGAAACCCTGCTTCAAGGTGTAGGGAGCACTTCTGAATTCTAGCACACAGTAAGTGCTAGGTAAGTGCTGACTGCCGTTATTAGCCACCATGGAGTTTCCAGCCTTCTTCCTCACCAGCAAATCCTGACCACCAATTCCATGTTCAGCCCTAGTTCAGAGAAAGCTGTGGCTTCCCCGCCCGATCCACAAGCAACCTTCAATCAGGCAAGTCCTGCTTTAGCTGGCTTTGACTCCCCCCGAGACCAGGGTCTCCTTGAGGGTGAGTCCCCAGGATCAGCTGGTGCCGGGCTAGGTGGCGCTTGGAATACATCTGTGCAGCGGGTCGGACCTGCTGTTTTTTGTTCTTTGTGTTTTTTTTGTTTTTTTTTTTTTCAACGTTTATTTATTTTTGGGACAGAGAGAGACAGAGCATGAACAAGGGAGGGGCAGAGAGAGAGGGAGACACAGAATTGGAAACAGGCTCCAGGCTCTGAGCCATCAGCCCAGAGCCCGACACGGGGCTCGAACTCACGGACCGCGAGATCGTGACCTGGCTGAAGTCGGACGCTTAACCGACTGCGCCACCCAGGCGCCCCTGTTCTTTGTTTTTTAATGTTTATTCATTTTTGAGAGACACATAGAGACAGAGCGTGAATGGGGGAAGGGCAGAGAGAGAGGGAGACACAGAATCCGAAGCAGGCTCCAGGCTCTGAGCTGTCAGCACAGAGCCTGACGCAGGGCTCAAACTCACCAACTGTGAGATCATGACCTGAGCCGAAGTCAGACACCCAATCGACTGAGCCACCCAGGCGCCACCGGACCTGCTGTTGAAAGATGCAAGTGTGGTTCTAGGGGCTGGGAATATGGCAGAGAATAAAAACAGCCCAAATCCTTGTCGTTGTGGATCTGAAGCTGAAGTGGAGAAAACAGAAAATAAAGAAAACATATCCAGCAGGAAATTTTTACCAGGGAAGGCATGTAACAGGTTTTTGCAACGGGCCGAGGGGGATGCTGCTATTTGACCTGGGTGTCAGGTGGCCGGCTGAAACCTGAAAAACAAGAATAAATGTTGAGTCACGTTGTACCCCTCAAATTTGTCTTTGTCAATTGTACCTTCATAAAGCTGGGGAAGAAAAGAATGAACGAGTGAGTGAATCAATACATGAATTTTCACAAGTCTGAACCACACGGAAGATACTCTGGCTCATTCCCAAAGTCTGATACAAGTGTCCAAAGCATGATACAAAGTATCTTAGTCATTTTAGATAGCACATGGAGAAGGTGGGTCTATTCATTTTCTATTTGATATATTTATGTTAAATGAGAGATTTGTTTTGACTCGTAGAAGAAGAAAAAAAATAGACTCACCCTGGACATCAAATCTACAGCCTTGTGGGTATAATGATCATTGTATACATTTTGCTTTAAAATAAATAAGGCTTAGGGGCCCCTGGCCAGCTCAGTCAGAAGAGCATGCGGCTCTTGATCTTGAGGTGGTGAGTTCGAGCCCCACATGGGGTGTAGAGATTATGTAAATAAATACAAAACTTAAAGAAAAAAGAAAAAAGGCTCGAAAGCGAGACCACTGAAAGAAAAGTATTAAGTAATAAAAAAAAAAAAAGTAATAGGTAGATGGAACAAAAGTGGTGCCAGATGATTGAGTGACAAATTTCAACATCAGAAGCCATCTGTCTGGTGGATTAAGACAAAAATGGAAGATTCCTAAATGCAACTTTGGGAAATACTAGCACACCAATCTCTCCTAAATCCCAGAAAACCAGACACAGAGGGCTCGAAACTTGAAAACTTGAAGGAGGGAATTTTAAAGCCAGTGTAAGAGGCCCCCTTATCCCGGCAGGTGGTAAACTTGGCTGAAGTCTTTAACCCTCTTCGGTTCAGTAGTGTTCTCTCATTAGGCGCTGGGCCCTCAGTAAGGGTGAGAGGGGGCGGTGTTTCTAAGTGAAGAAGAGACAATACAAATAATTGAAGCTTTGCTGCTAGGACGGAGGCAGAAGGGAAGGCTACGTGAAGGATGTGACATCTGAGCTGGGACTTCAGGGAGAGGTTGGATTTCAACAGGTGCAGGAGAGGGGGTGGGGCTTGGGCACAGAGAAACCCAAGGGTGTGGCTGGGCAGGTGGCTTTCTCTGGCCTTGGGATGTGAGAGGTGAGAAGGAGGGCAGGCATGGATAGGAAGGGCCTTGAAAGCCAGTCCAAGTGGCTGAGTGTTGATCTGGTGGGCAATGGGGAGCCATGGGTGGTGCCTGAGCAGGAGAAGAGCCCCCTTTAATGGGTTTGTTTTAAGGAACACTGGAGTTTATTGATTTGGGGGGCAATGTGGATTTTTTAAGGATGTGGGGAACGTCTGCATTGGTGACAGGCTGGATGTGAGGTTCCGGGCAACAGTGGAGGAGAGGAGGGGAGGAGAGGGTGTCAGCCCAGCTTCCCTGCCCTCAGAGAGATGGGGACAAGGAAGGAGAAGCAAGTTGAAGGGCCTGGGAATGAGGAGGCACTGACCACAGTAGGCTCCCTGGCCGTGTTACCCTGGGCAAGTCACGTGGCCACCGGAAGCCTCTATCCCTGTACAGATAAAATGAAGGAGATGACCACGAAATGAAGTGGTGTTTACAGGGTCCTCAGCCCCATGCCTGGCACAGGGCACGGGCTAGACAACTAACCGCACATCGAGTTTGTGCTTTGATTTGGGCTATTCCAGCCCTTCTCAACTGAGGCAGATTGTCCCCCCCCCCCCCCCCCACCGGGGACGTTTGGCAATGTCCAGAGATACTTTTTGTTGTCATGCTGTGGAGGGGGAGGAGCTAGTGGGCAGAGGCCAGAGATGCTGCTAAAGGCACAGGACGGCCCCACCCCCCACCCCCAGGGAATGATCTGGCCCCAGATGTCAGCAGTGCTGAAGCTGAGAAATCCTGTCTGCCAAGGAGACGCACCAGGAGGTGGGAGGCGGCTGGGCCCATCCTGAGAAGTGCACCTCTGACTGAGTCAGCTGTCTTGGGAAGACTTGGATGCCTTGGGGGGGGGGGGGGTCAGTGAGGTCCCTTGGGAGGAGGTGGACAGAGAAGAGAATGGGGAGACAGAAGCACCAATCACAGCTACGTTTAGAGACAGGATAGGCAGAAGCACGGAGCTGCAGGAGATGAGCCACATCTGGGAGGTTGAGGAAGCGTGATGATAGGAACAATCCCCTTGGCCTGTGCCCAGAGGTCAAAGGACCCAGGCCCTAGGAAGGGACAGGGCTCTGCGGTTCCCAGGCACCAGAATCCTCAGCCTGGCAGCAATCAACAAACAGCAACCTAAGTGGGAGGAGAGGACACGGGGGCGGCGGCCAGATTAGGGAGACGGTACCAGAAAAGTGTGTGCAAGTGGACCAACGAGGAACACGGCGGGAGTGAGGGGAAGGGAGTTTCCCCGGGCATCCAGAAGCTCACGGCAGACTTCCGGGAAAGCAGCCGCTACGAAAAATCAGTCCGTGCCTCGAAAAGCTAAAAATGGAATTACCATATGAGCCAGAAACTCAGTTCCTTAAGTATGTAACCGAAAGAATCGAAAACAGGGACTCAATGTCCCCGCATGTTCGCCCATACACGCATGCCCACAAAGGTGGAAACAACCCAGCATCCATCAACGGATGAGGGGCTGAAGAAATGGGGCCCGTCCGTGCGGGGGAGCATTACTCAGTCATAAGAAGGAATGAAGCCTTGAGACCTACTACACCACGGACGAAACTCCAAAACATCACAGTGATGTGATGGAGTGAAAGAAGCCAGACACAAAAGGTCACACATTGGATGATTCCGTTTCTATGAAATTTCCAGAGTCAGTAAATCCATAGAGATGGTGAGTACATTAGGGATGGACGGGTTGGGGGGGGGGGGGGGGCGCCCCGGTGAGGAGTGAGGCCGTATCCAAGGAGAATGAGTACAGGGTCTCCTTTTGGGGCGATGGAAAAATTTTGCCACTGGGCAAAAGTGATGTTTGAGCAATATTTGTGAATGTGCCAATGCCGCCCAATTATATCCTTTAAGATGGTTAACTTTATATTACGTGAAGTTCACCCCAATAAAATAAAGAGTTCCAGCAGGAAACAGAACACTCAAATGGGGTAATTTGGAAAGAGAGTAACAAAAGTACTATTTCAAAAAGACAGCGCAGCCAGGAACCTTTACCACCCCAGAGGTGCGGGGGCTATGGGGCGAAAGCAGTTGCTGGAACCTGGACTTGATACGGCTATGTGCAGAGAGAGGACTACCTGGCAGGAGTTGTTGGTTGAGGGACACAGCCAGCCTGCGTGGACCACACAGGAGAGGAGATGAGATGTTAATACCCGGACCTCAGTCTCCTCCCTCCCTCCAATGCCTGCTGTGGCTCCCTATTGGCGGAACCCAACCAGAAGCCATAAGGCAAGGGTTGAGTGATTCATACAAGCCAGCCTCCCAGGATACAAAATAGGGGGCAGAAGGGTGGAGACAAGGCAAAAGATAATTCAGAGACTTGAAACAAAGACCAGAGCAGTTCCAGGGTGTGGGGTGAATGGTGGAGCAAACAACTCCTTCCAATTCATCACTCACCACACTCTTGCTCACTGCCACTTGAACCATTTTGCCAAACCCGTCAAGGTTATCTTTCCCCTCAAAGGCTTTGCTTGCTGCACATCTTGGAATTTCCCTCTGCTTGGAATTCTATTCCCTCTCACCTGCTCGGCTAACTCCTACTTATCTTTCAGGTGTCAGCTCAAAGTCCATTTTCTCTGAGGGCTTCCCTAACTTCTGGGTTCAGTTTAAGCCCACACTGGATGCAGCCACAGCCCCTGGGAGTCCTCAGTCACAATCAAATCACTCTTGGAATGGTTCCTTTAGC